AAACTACCGGTAAATACGTTAAATACGTTAATACTGAGGATGAATACAACTACATATCATTGCTGCAAACTGCCACAATCCACTTTCAATCATTTTAACTATTAAGTTATAATTTGTTTAGACTGGGAGCAAGAGACTGTTTTGCAGTTTTTATTATTTTTTTATTTATTTATTTATTTTTTTTTTACGGAGTTTATCCAAGAATTAAGGAAAACAAGGAAAATAAGAGCTTGGTTTTTTGGGGTTGCCGTAAACGTTATTCTCAAACTCTCTAATTTAGGATTAGGAAATGTAAGTCGGACTTCTTATGGATGCAAAAATTTGTTTATCTTTTTTCATTCTCGGGCAGAGATTGATAAAAAAGAGATGATTCCTAAGTTGTTGATTGTTTATTGTCTTGGTACGGTAACATGAACACAAAATGCTCATATATTAGTCACCATGAGTTGAGATTAGTTTGTTTTCTCTTTGTTTTGTTTTGTTTTTTCTTTGTTTTGTTTTTTAACAAACAAAAAAAATTGTTAATTCTTAGCAATTAAAATACAATCCCTACCCGCAAAATAGCGAAGCTAATCGAGGCGGGAGGGAAACAAACATTAAAATAAATTATTAAAATAACAAGTTTGACTGAACTGAGGAGATGACTTGGAGAGCATGTGCACTTAGACGGGAACAAAGAAAATCAGTACGATAGCTTATAGATAAGCGAATTTGGTGTTACAACATACAACCGAAATAAAATCAGAAAAAAAAAAAAAAGACAAAAACAGAAGCATAATTTGCTAAAAAGATTATATTATTAAATTTTATCAATTAAACGATGGACGTCAACATAAGTATCCTCTCGTGTCAAAGTGTTCAACATCTGTCTAAACAATACTCTTTTAGTTTATACTTAGGTATAGAACGAAGAAAGGTAGGACTATCATTTTAGATACTTACACCCAGTCTCAAAAAAGGAATTTTTTATATCGTCTGTTCTGCTTAAGATAAAGATTGCCAGCGGCTGAGGACTTTGTATAATAGAGGTGATTTTCTGACCAATAACTAAATAACTTTGAAACGTTAGCCGGAGGTGTTAGATTGTTTTGAAATTGATAAGATGAAGAGGAAGAAAGTTTGACATGTTAAACAAATATAGCATGAAATCTAAAGAATAAGAGGATTCAGGATTTAAGGGAGAGCATGGAGTGAGGATTGGTATTTTGCTAATGAATGGATATGATAATTTGTGCTTCATTTAAAAGGGATTTATGGAAATGTGAAAATACCCCTCTGCAGTCCGCGTATCAATGGCCGTTCCCTGAAATGTTTAAAACCGAAGAGGATATATTTTCTCAATTGCTTTTTATAATAGTGACATGTCGTCGCCTCTGAAACGTCATGTTTTAATTAATAGCTCTGCTTTTGATCCTTAAATATTATTTTCAAAATCTTTCCTTCTACCGTGGGAAATTTATACGGGTGGAAATTTCATATCTGCATATCATCTGTTTGCGATCTTACGCGTCTGGTATAAGATTATAATCCCACTGTAGAGCAAATATTGAACTATTCATCTCGCCAAAATAATGCATGAAGCTTCTTTGTTGACGAAAGCCTATCGTGACCTTAGTCAGATCAATACTTTAAGTTCAAACATCTGGAGCTCGATCATGAATTAACGCCAGGTCTGAGGGCGGGTAAATCAATTAAGTAATTTTAAATTTTGTCTCGCTAGGAACACACCCTTAATTAAGGACTATGGTAAAATTATGTTCGTGCTAAAGATTAGCTATGTCTATTTTCCTTCGATATAATTAAGCAGGTTTTTGCGTACCTATTGACGTCTTGGTCTTATCCCCGACGTTTTCGTTTCATTTATTCGTCAAAGCGTACAACTTCATGTGACTTTCAACGGCTGAGATGCGAAGTTCGTTCATCTCCGTTTTCCTGTTCATTATTTCCATCCTTAACAACAGCGCGATAAGCAGTAGAACTGAAATGAAAGAAACAACCGAAGAGTCTCTGCGTAAAGCATCGCTTGAGCATTTTGGGGGAGGTTTCTTTGTCGGGTCCATTCATCAGCTTCAAGGGAATTCGAGGGAACAGCTTTCCTGATTAATAAACTCAATCGCTGCGAGACACAACGCATATACTTGTGCTGAAGGTTCAGGCTTCCTGTGTAATTGATATCATAAAGAACATGCCCAGGCAAGATGTAAAGCAAACCGTTACTGATTCTTCTGTCACGCGTCACGAGGGTAAGAGTCCAGAAGGCTGACCCGACTCCACAATAAATCCGGTTTTCAAAATGTGTGTGGTCTTGAAGGTGATAACTGTCGGTAATTGGGATAAATTTTGCTTTTTTGATCACGTCAATATTACGAGCAACTTCTGGTCTGCGCTAATCTCGCAAACTGTTCTCACTTTTTCACTTTTATATCAAATTAGTGCTGTTCATGATTGGAATATTGGGTTCTTGTGCAACTCAGTGATAGAAATAAAAAAAACCCAAAGACCAAAATGTATGTTCAAGGTTCTCAGTATTGTAAGTCAAAGCGACGCACTGCGTTTCAAGGTCAGAGACCTTCTTCAGTTATTTACCAGGTAAATAATTGAAGGTCTCTGACCGAAACGTTTTTTATCAAATTTTTTTATATTTTTTACGTCAGAAGTTGTCCATCCTCGCAATTTTTAAAACTTTATATATATGAAGAAACTGTTAGCTTCTGTGTCGAATGAAGATACTAAAACCAATGAAAAACGAAAGTCTTCTTTTACTTTTACTTTTCTTTTTGCGTTACGCGTTTTACCACTGTTGCGGCTCTTCAGGCATAGCAAAGCGTGCTTATTGACTGAAAGATAACACAACAAACATCTTCCGAAACCCCTTCCCCCCTTCCCTTTCCGATGATAAAAAATGACCGGTGCCAAAGTTAGTTCCAGGCCTCCTTCTAGTTTATATCTGACATCACTAGACAATCATTAATGAATACTTCATATTTCCTTCAAAAGATTGACGAGTTGTGAGTCTGACTTAAATTAAAAAAACTCTGTTGGATTTTCGTTTTCTCATGGAAATTCCATAGGAAAATTGATTGCTTGACGAGGGAATTCCGCATTCAATTGCACGCAAAAACCATATCGCACAAATTGTATAATTGAGTAGAAAAAATGAAAAAAAAAAAATAAAAATATAATAAAACAGCGTTAATTATAGTTGTTATGTATACGTGACTGCGATACGATATCACTTAGCTTCGTTTTCAATTCGCAATTCCACGCTAAATACTTCGCCTCGTTAACTAATCAGATAGCGAGATTTAATTCAATGATGCGAATCTAAAGGGGATTATTTTTTTTCAGTGAAAATCCAGAGATGTTTAAGGATCTTAGCGTTGCGGCTGGGGTGATGGTCAAGTTACTTTATCTTTGCTATGAGAGGAAAAGGTTCGCTATTACCATTTTTAAATGCTCATTTAACTTGAATCACCTTCTACAAAGTTCTTAAGTTCTAAAATAAGTTTAAAAAATAAAGGCCTAATTATTTTTAACGGATCCATAAGTTTAATGAGTATGACTGGGATGGAACGTTTTCTGTTACAGCATCATAACCAAAGTCATATTCAGTCTCAACGGATCCCTCTTCAACAAAAGAAGCAGCGCCAGTTTCTGTAATTCCAATCCCATGATCTGCACGTGCACAGCTACTACCTCCTCCTCTAATCATCATCACAGATCTATCACTATTACTCCAGTCACACCAGAAGCCGATCTTGTTGGCGCTTTGGATATTTCCAGTGCAATTAGCCTGTTGAAACCCATCTGTTGACTTGTACTGTCCGCCAT